CTGTAAAATCAGAAATATTACTAATATGACAGCATTCTCACAGTGGATGTTCAAGTGCAATACTGATACTGATCAACCAGTGGCGTAGCCAGGAATGTCTGACAGGGGGTGTTTACCGTATGTATCCAGCCTTTCACCTCCTAATTCCCAGTCCACCCACCTGTGGCACGGCCCAACCTATTTTCACTTTCTTAAGAACAGGTTTTAGCAATTAACGGTATATATTTTAAATGGTTGTGCATAACTGCAGACATTTTAGCTAATTCGATGTGATTACAGTGATTTTATTTTTAACTGCTGAAAAATGAACTTCAGAAAAATAATTGATACTTTATCAATCCCCATATGGAAACTCTTTTTATACCTCCCCCAGCTTGCTCTGTGGAGGTGAGAGAAAGATGGCTGTGAAGGGCAGCCACCCATAGCAGCCAGGGAGCTGGGGATTGAGTACCTTGCTCCTCCACAGACATGCCGAGGCCAGGCTTGAACCAGCGACCTTCCTATCCCAGGCACAGAGGCTTAGCCCACTGAGCGACATACTGCCCCATGATGTGGGGGGATGTTGGAATTGAAAACACAGCAAACTAATGGTCTATTTGCTGCGCAATTTTTAATTCCTTAATGTATATGGGAACAATTAGTTGTTACCCGTTTGCTCAAAACAGCAACAAAACGTTACTAACTGTTTCAAAATGTATAAAGTAAGTAAGTAGACTCTTAATCATGAGCGCAGGATGTGTTTTAACGAGGCATGGGATTTCATGTAAGGGAGGCATAACATTTATTCAGTTTAGAGTCATCTTGTCATCTTTCAGCAAATGAATAGCAAAGCACATAACATTTGAAGAGTTAGTGTTAAACCCTCGGAGCTCACTTAACAAAGCTCACACTGGAATGGATGCAGATGTATGGTGCCATGACAAAGGGGAAGGCTAAGGATTGTTTATCCAGGAGCAGAACAGAGCAGGAGACTGAGCCCTGAGCTCTGGCGGCACAGCTGGATCTGCCGCTCAGTGGCCAGAGATGAGCTGACTGTTCTAGAAAAGCCTCGCCGGGTGAGGGGATGCCCAGTGCTCCCAGAAGGCCGAGCGAGGCGAATCGCTGGCAGCTGGCAGTGATGGCAGCTAGGGGCTGCTGTACGGGCGCTGCTGTTTTGCTGTTTCGTATGCAGAAAGTGTTCATGTCTCCGGCTCATCATGGTTACTATGGCTACAACCTACACACTTGCCTACATCCCTCTAAAATTAATCTGGAGGTGCAAAAATTGAAACAGAAATCAGAAAGGAATAACGAGATGAGTCTGTTTCTGAAAGTCCGGAAGCAGGGAAATTTCCCTCTAAAAAAAAAACTTGCATCCATCTGTCCATCTTCCAACGTCCAGTGTCCTGTATCTATGACAATGGGAACTTCAATTAAATTTTGATGAATCTGATAACTGTACCAGGTCTATTTAAATATATACAATTAAACTAAAATGATTCAATATAATAAAATACAATAATTGAATTAATAAAGAAATGTAGCAAAAATGTCTTCACTTAAGGTTTTAGAAACTCTTAGTTTTCATACTGTAGTATCACCATTGTTTTATGCATGCATGAATGAATGAATGAATGAATGAACAAATATATTCATCGGTGTATGTGTGTGTGTGTGTGTGTGTGTGCCATGTGATGGACTGGCGTCCCATCCAAGGTGTCCCCCACCCCTGAGACCTGTACTGCCTGGAACAGGTTCCAGTCCCTTTGAGACTCTGACCAGCATAAGAAGCTGGAAAATGGGCAGTTTGTAGTTCAAGGGAGTCTGGACCTAAGTGGAACAAATGCAAGCTTTACCTGAAGCACAATTCAAACCTGAATATAAATCGGAGAAAGAATTATTTCCTCTGAAAAAGAAATCAGACACAACACAGTGTTGCAGTGGTTGGCACTGTTGCCTCATCTCTGGGATCAGGGTTCAAGTCTCTGCCATGGTTCCATATGTATGGAGTTTGCATGTTTTCCCAGTGCCATTGAGGGGTTTCTTCTGGGTTCCCTGGGTTCCCTACAGTCCAAAACATGCTAGGCTGACTTAAAATTTCCAAATTGCCTGTAAGTGTGAGTGTGCCCTGTGATTGGTTGGCGCCCCATCCCAGGTTTTTCCTTGCCTCTGGACCCCCACAACCATGGTGCAGAAAATGAATGAATAAGAGATCTCAGCCAGGAAAAAGAAATAAACAGCATTTGAAGTCTAAGGTGTTTTTTAAAAGAAACAATGAAGATGTTTTCTAGAGAAAACATGTGCCCCACTCACATCACAACCCTGTACTGGTTAAGTGGTTGGAGGATGGATGGATCGAGACAGTGCTCAGTGCCAGGTAGCATGCAGATCGATTTTGGCAGAAGCAAGATCATAAGGGAGAGGTCATCTGGTCATTTTGGCCGTCTTTCAGGTCCAGTGAGTATCAAAGTGGAAGTTAGTCCAGGGAACTACAAAGTCAGTCAGCCGAGGAAAGAAGAAAAATATATAGTGAATATACCATGTCAACCTACTGACATGTGGCCCTGTTTTCCTCCTTTTTGTCAAGTTCTCATCTGGCACTGCTCATACATTCCAGTCCAGGCCTCACTATCAGAAACCGGATGTCTGGGAAAACCGCAACCTATCCTCACACATACCCAGAATGACTGATCCTCGCCGTCCCATTTCCCCAATGGAGAAGGGATTCTTCACCAAGTCCATTTATTTGTTTAGCGGACGCTTTTTACCCAAAGTGACGTACAAGTCAGAAAAGCATGTGTCAGAGGGCCAGCCAGGGTCCCTTGAGCAGTTGGGGTTAAGAGCCTTGCACAAAGGGTTACTCTAGCAGCCCTGGGATTTGAAGCCATGCTCTTCCAGACACTGAGACAGATCCCTGCCTGGCTGTGATACACGCCAGCAATAAGTAAGAATGTGCTGCTGTGTGTCCTAAGTTCAGAAGGAGGCTGTCCATACAGTACTGAACATGTGCTCTTTAAGCGTAACTGAGGACTGTCGCTGTGCCTGGATAAGCCTTGTTGTCCCTATCTCTAAACCAGCTGGAAATCCTGTAATGACTGTGAGAATTTAAATACTGTGGATGGCTTCAAACCCCCGAGCCCTTGCCGTGGCTGAATGGATTGATAGACTAGCTCAGTTGCACCTGGCTTATCACTACTTTGGATATAGACTTGAAGAAGACCACTTTAGTCAGGACCAGTGAAGGATTCCAGCACCCTGCCTTTAAGCTCTCATGTAGCCCTTATCAGTGACTTTTGTTGGCTTGTGGGGTTTGACCACAGCAGGACATTCTTACTTACTGCTGGTGTGTATCACATTGATGATGGTCTAGTTAAACAGAGGGTGACCAGTGCTCCCAGCTCATGAAGTCTTCAGCACCATGGACAGCGACCAGTAAAATATAGGCGCAGACAGTATGCTTATTTGCTGTGTCATGGCAGGGATAAAAGGCCAGAATGCCAGCCAGTCAGGGGAGGGCTACAGCCCTAACCACACCCCCTTCCCTAGGGGATACCCCTCCTTACTGCACAGCCCCCACACCCACATGGCCTACTCTGGGAAAGCCAATGCAAGCGTGACTCCCAATGGGGTTTGGAGCTGGCCACCCTCCTCTTAACAGCCCTGACCTGTCTTATCACATCTAGCGCCCCCTATGTCCCTTTCAGTACCTCCCTCTGAAGCTTCCTCACAAAAAGAGCATTTGTGCCCCACCAAAGTTACCTTTCCCCTCACAGCCCCCCTGCAGCATGTCCTTTAAGGATCTGTGTTGTGGGCTTGACACAGAACAAAATACTTCATTGTGTCAATCATTAGAAAACATACACAATCATCCATACAACATTCATGTAACTTAAAATGTAAAACCTCTGTCTAATTTTCCAAGCTTCCAGTGAAAGCTCCTCTGTTGTACCTGCTTCTCTGTTTTTGTAATGTTTGGTTGAGCATATTTGCTCTGCGTGTTTGGAAGCTGGGGATTGTGCTCCCCGCACCTACAGGAGAGCGGTGGAACAACCCCAGAATGAAAACTCATGACTTGTGACAACTGGTTCAGTGCTAATTTCCCTCTTTGGTCAGTGAAGCTGAACCCCTCTCTGAATGAACTTATTACCAGCTCAGTTGTTAAGATCAGGAAGGCTTTAGTACCTATAACAGCATAACTAATCATGGTTTTGATGTTGGATTTTCTCTGCTGCTCCCCACAGACTAGGTATATCTGTAAAATGTATTAATACCACATCTGAATTTTTGGTTCTGCAGTCCAGCACTGCATTTTTCTTCTCACACACTCAGAGCACAAACACACACACATACACAGCACAGGTGCACCTTGGTCAGTACAGTTCACACAGGCTGAAAGTTATTTTTTATACTCACCTGAAAGGTTTTCAGTGCTGGCAAGTCTCTTTCGTTGCCTTTCCTATCGTGAAGGACAGCACTAAATTTGCATGATTGCTGACTGATACTGTTGGACAGCACCGAGTTATCCAGAGTGTTCTTATACAGATCCTGTATTTTGAAGCAATAGCATGGTCCTAATGGTCAACTGTAAAAGTAAACAGTCACAATCCAGAATACTAGCTGTATGCCAATATACACATATGTACCATTCCAGAGTTTTAATGTATTAATCATTGATTTCACTAATTTATTAATCAAAATATAATTTGCATAATTTTTAAACTCTTGATTAGTGATAATGCAATCTTTTGAGGGCTGAGTTGCACTGATTGGTCACCTAAATTCAGCCAATCAGAGTCAGGCTCTTGATTGGCCTGTGGAGGGAGCAGAGGGAGGAGCAGAGGAGAGGCAAGGATCGCTAAGCTTCAGCTGGTAGCATCCACATGCTTCAGCGGTCCCCCTGCTTTGATGGCCTCATCTCCCATGGCGTTTGCAGATACAGGAGGCTTTCAGTAGGAGGCTTTAGCTGGCAGCAGCTTCACTGTCAGGGCTGCGCCGTCATGGCTCTCTTCATCTCCACGCAGGTGCCCCAGGATGAGTGGGGCGGCTACCCCGGCATCGACAAGGACGAGGAGATCCCCTGTCGGCGGATGCGCAGCAGCAGTTACGTCAAAGCCATGGGGGATGACGAGAGCGGCGACTCGGACAGCAGCCCCAAAACCTCACCGCAGAAAGCCATCCGGCCCGACGCCCTTGCCCTCAAGTCAGTCATGCTCAGGCCCCACATCGACCCCCAAAGGTAGGCATAGACTTACGAGTGCATCATGTGAGCCGTGTGTAGAGGTCGAGTTCCTAGGTGGGCTATAGCTGTGCTTTGCATGTTTGCATATAATATTAACATGGTTATACCATTTTATGTCTCTGACAGCAGTTTCTCATAGTCCAAAATGCCACAGAAAGAAATATATATAAATCTATGTGAACCCACCCTCCACTGGATAAGTGGTAGGAGGATGGATGGATGGATAGATGGATGTAAAAATAGGAATCCAAGTGCTGGAAACAGATGAAGATGTTTATTCGTTTCCCTGTGAAACTCTGGCACTCGTTCCAATTAATTGTGAACAGTGGTGTTCAGATGTAATCCTTTATTTACGCTGCTGTGTCTGTCTTAACGGCTGCTTTTCTGTGACCTCCCTCTTTTCATCCACATGGCACTGATTTCTTGGGGGGGAGGGGGCATGACTGAAGCCTTCAGTGTCTGCCGCAGCTTGGGAACACCAAATGCGCCTCATGAGCATATTAGTATTTTAAATCATTCAAAAGGTTCATCATCATAACAGATAATTAAAGAAATCTTCCTAAGAGAAACTGTTGGAATTTGATGAGCATTTGTCAGAAAGTTTGCTGGTGAACTGTCTAATCACTCAGCTAAATATGTTAGACTGGTTAATTTTTCTCTACCCTGCCCTTGATTTTTTGCAGTCAGTTGCCAATTTGAATGTGAAGTCTTTCCTCCTTCAGAAAATATTGCATCAGATGTCTTCCTGCTCATTCCTCCTTTCTTTCTGTAAATTCTGCAAAATCTTCTGTGATCTACAGGGGACAACTACATTTTAAAATGCACTGTGCACTACGTCTTAATATAATATAGGATTAAATCATGATTGTGCCATCATTCAAGTGACTTATTACTGCTTAGATCCCATGGTGCATTGTACCCCTGAGCAAAACCCAGGGAAAAAAGATCAGGACATGTCACATGACTGGTAGGACACATCACATGGATTAACATGTGACCATCATGGGCTTTGATCGGACCCATAACTAGAAAAACATTTCAGAGGGAGGTTTTCCCTCAGTACATTTTGCCCCTCGTTAAAGTTTCCTGACCAGGGGGTGGGAGCATATTTTGAGGGGGTTTGAGATTTAATATGTGCCAGATCGGTGGCTAACAAGTTTGGCTCAATCCTGTTCTTTTACTATGTGGCTGTGTGCCTGGCTTTGATGCAAGTGGCGTCATGGTGGTCATTCTGGGGACCCATGAACCACTCATGATGTGTTTCTATGGTTCTGGTTTAGGCTAGACTGTGATGCCGAGCCAGTTATTTTGTGGGAAATGGTATTTAAATGCATTTTCCATGTTTGAAAAGTATGTACATTTTTAATATCAAAGTCTAACAGTAGCAGCAACAACAAAAATAACAGTAATAGTTGTTGACATTTAATATGCCAAGTAGTCATTATCCCGGAAATCTTGGAGAGTAATAGAGAGTATTACAGTAACAGGGTAAAATCTATCAATTTTTCACCAGTTTATCCAATATAGGATTTCAGTGGACAAGGTAAAATTCAGACTGCAGAGCTCAGCCATTGCATGGGGTCCTGCTCTGTGAGAGTCCTTGTGTAAGAGCCCAGCCACAGCGTGGGGTCCTGCTCTGTGAGAGCCCTCATGTTACAGCCCATCCACTGCATCCACTGCTCTGTGAGAACCTTCATGTTCGAGCCCAGCCACTGCATGGGATCCTGCTCTGTGAGAGCCTTCATGTTAGAGCCCATCCACTGCATCCACTGCTCTGTGAGAACCTTCATGTTCGAGCCCAGCCACTGCATGGGGTCCTGCTCTGTGAGAGCTCAGCCATTGCATGGGGTCCTGCTCTGTGAGAGTCCTCATGTATGAGCCCAGCCACAGCATGGGATCCTGCTCTGGGAGAACCCTCATGTTCGAGCCCAGCCACTACATGGGGTCCTACACTGTGAAACCCCTCTTGTGAGAGCTTAATGTTGAAGCTTTCAGTTTGTTCAGTCACAGGTGACCAAATTGGCTGTCTGATCTGCAGGTGAGCTCATGTGTGGAAAGGCAGAGGTAACTGTCAGATTTTTTAAGGCAGGGAGCAGAAGAGGACTGTAACTCATACAGTGGGACCAACTTTATTATTAACCAATGATATGTTGTGAATCAGTGAGTGAAAGGAGAGGACACACTCAAGGGACCAATCAGCTTTCAGCTGGGACCAGTGCCCTCATACAGTATACAGCACTAGGAAAACTGGTTCAGAGGTGAGATGCTGGATATGAGGCTCTGGCGAAGGAGCCTCATGTGAGGCTGTGCAGCCAGACAGGAATGCTGACTCTTTACGGAGATTTGAAAACTGCCAGATGTAGGGAGTGTAGCATTGGATTGTGTTTATGTGCAGATGTGCATGCTTAAGAATCACAGCTGGAAGTTAGTTCTTTCTGTAAGTCAGCCATGGACACTGCCTTGGCTATGCTCACAGACTAATGCGTACAGTGGGGTTATTTGTTTATTTTAATGTTTTAATTGTTTGTTTATGTTCTGTCCCTTTATTGGTGCAGCTTTATATGCAGGGTTGTGCTGCCACCCTGAAAGGCAATGCTACATTTATTACACTCTCAGTCTGTTTGAGTTGCAAGCAATGGGGACTTCAGCACAGTATCATTGAGCAAGAGCTTAACAGTGTTTAAGGTTTTGTACATGTACTTTTTGGACTTGCACAGCTATATGTGGCATAGACCAAGGCAGAGCAAAGAGGGGTGTCACCTTATACGGCGCCGCCAGACCAGAGAGGGGTGTCACCTTAAATGGTGCCGCCAGACCAAGGCGGAGCGGAGAGGGGTGTCACCTTATACGGCGCCGCCAGACCAGAGAGGGGTGTCACCCTAAATGGCGCCGCCAGACCAAGGTGGAGCGGAGAGGGGTGTCACCTTAAATGGCGCCTCCAAACCAAGGCGGAGCGGAGAGGGGTGTCACCTTAAATGGCGCCGCCAGACCAAGGCGGAGCGGAGAGGGGTGTCACCTTAAATGGCGCCGCCAGACCAAGGCGGAGCGGAGAGGGGTGTCACCTTATACGGCGCCGC